CAAGAAACTCCGCGTTCAAAGGTAACATTACTGAATCGAATGTCGAAATTCTATAAACTGAAAAAATATCAAGTATCTTACCGCTTCGAATACACAGATATTCACGTACGAACAATATCACAGTGACCGCATGCATGTCATATATAAAATCAATAAACTAGCGAATACCGTAAACGTTTACCTATCATTAATCAACAAATTTGTTGTTGCATAAACGTACAGAAAGCCTATTATTACCGTCATTAGAATTTGTAAAATTATCAACAGAAATAATTTCGACAAACCTCCATACCGCATTACTGTTCAATCGTCACCGCTTAATTACGATGTTTAAGGCACTTTCCAATAGAATACCAAACGAACAAAATTTCTCCCGAAAAATGTAAAAGTTTTAAATAAATTATTTTCCTCCTCTAAGTACCATGCTATTCCATCCACAAAGACTAGAGAATGAATGCTAAATAATATCACCATCGCTACAAGAGATAAGAGATCAAACTTCAATAATCAATAAACCAATAACTCATTAACCATAAAAAAAATGATAGATCCCGAATGAATGTATCGTCTCAAAGAAATTCCCTCTAAACCGCTACCTCAATGCTTTTTCATGTGATTAAGCATGATAGTTCTGGTAACGAAACCTTTGCCGCACAGTGTGCAGGTGTAAGGTCGTTCGCCAGTGTGGTATCGACGGTGGACGGTAAGCGTGGACGCCTGAGTGAACGACTTGCCGCACATGGCACAAAGATACGGCCTCTCACCGGTGTGGATGCGCTGATGCACCACGTAATACTTGCGATGCGTGAAACCTTTCCCGCACACGTCGCATACGAGAGACCTGGACCTATGCACAGCCTTATGGGTGGTCAACGACTCGATGCTAGCGAACTGTTTCGAGCACGAGTCGCACGGGTACGAGGAAGCGGCGGCGGTGACAGCTATCGATTTGTTCGGCTGCGATACCACCACGTTCCCGCTAATACTGCTAGTGACCGGATCGACGACGGACACCATGGACGACGCGTCGGCGATCCTATCGTTCCCCGTTAGAACCGGCTTGTGGGTTTTCGCGTGATGATTGTACAGATTACGCGTTTCAAACCGCATCAGACACCTCGGACACGAGTACGGTTTCTCCTGGCCGACCTCGTGCATCCTTCTGTGACGCTCGAGCAGCGTACGGTACCGGAAACTGGCCTGGCAACGGTCGCACGCGAACGTTTTCTCGACGCTCGCCGTAGTCGAGATCGTCGAGATCGGCGGCGGGCAGGGCGCCGCCACCGACGGCACGGTGTGCGTCACCTCGTGCATCCTCAATTGGCTCAAAGCGAAGAAACTCCGCGAGCAGATCGCGCACGAGTATCTCACCGAATTGTTCTCCAGACCGTGATCGAATTCCGGCATCGCCATGTGGCTCGTTCTCATGTGGTAATTCAGCTTCAAGGCGCTACGGAACTCGAGGCCGCAGATGGGACACGGATGGGACTCGACCACGATCTGCACGTGGTCCAGGAGGTTTTGATCGGAACACATGGATGGCAAGTGGGACGGGACTGTTTGGAACGTCGACGGCATCATCGACGTCTGATTGGTGAACATCGAGCTGTTCTGAAGCAGGGTACAACTGACGGGTAAACCGGGGTCTCCGGTCTCGGGCGATGGCGAGAGTATTTGACGCAGCATCCCCGATAATCCACCGAAGGTCTCGCTTCCTTCCCTGAAATCGACAAAACCGAACGACAATGCATCGGAGGATAACCGTACGACACACACATAGCGTTTGCCGTTCGTATCATTTTCTTTTCTCTTTGTAGTGTTTGCTTTTTTATCATTTCGTTCACGTGATATATCTTGCGTTCTAAGTTGCGACAGGTGGCGGTGTGATAGATAGGTCAAGCCGAGATATAGAGAATTCTTTGTTCTGTTTTTGTGGTGAGTGTACGCGCGTGTATGTGTGCGCGTGTGCGTTTTCTACCAAGTGCACGGTGTTTCAGCGTAGTGCGGTTCCCCTCGAGACATACAGAGCGATAAGGTGCGGACCAGAGCGATACGTGCGAGTAGAACATGGAGTTCTGTCGTCATCGTTTAACCGTAGGAAACAGAAACATTTCGAGAGATTCGGTTTCGGGGAATCTTGCCCGTTCGATCATTTCGATCGTTTCACTTTACCTTTTACACGTTTCTATGATACAGTGTCTTGTCCTTCATTGTTATATTATAATACGCGTGTTACCGCTAAATGTATAAATAAGTTACTAAATAATGTGACGTTTCATGTACACCTTAAGGTTCTATTAATATTAAACGAATCAGCAACGGGTGTTGAGTAAAGAAATCAAAACGACCGTACGTTCTACTTCTAAACTTACAATACTTCTCTCGCCTCTCCACACATTTCACCTGGTAAAATAAAAGAGTCGGCACAAACCGGGGAGAAAGGAACGAAAGATAGGTCTCTACAGCAAACCAGCAGAAGGAAGGAGAAATATGTTAAGCTGCGGAGCTTGGAGGCAAGAAAGTTAGAATAAAAGCGAACCCTTTTGCTAGGAGTTACTAAGAGTAGGTTTAAAAACAAACTTAATACGATATAAAAAATGGGATCCTCACCTTTCGAACGAAATCTGATCCTCGGTGACGTCCTCTTCGTCTTCTTCTCAACACAAACCGCCGCATGATTATGCGTGATTCTTTTTCTTTCAGTTGAATGAAACAGAACACGTTCACGGTCGTGAACGTAAATATTGCAACACCGACAAAATAAAAAACGGGAGAAATGTGACACAGCTATCGATCGCAACGGGGTAAAATGGAACAACTTCCTGTTTCAAATGTTTAATAGTTTAAACGGAAACATGAAATGCTCCTGAGCCGCGTAGCGATCGGTTCGATTTAAGCGCTTCTTGCGCAAGTAAATACTTTGTTTCTTCCTTTGGTTCGTCGTTAGTATTCTGCGCAAGGAAAAAAGGTACCAAACGGAGTGCAAAAGAGTAGCACTTAATCGACGGCGTGCGAACACAGCCGAAATTCGCGTTGACGTGAAAAATAATATACGAGTCGTGATTTTTGCGCGAAAAAAAATGTGACAACGATTCGGCCGTTGTCACTGGCACGTAAAAAGAATATAATGCTCGCTGCACGCAATTCGGTGCGCGATGAAAGTGGTTGGCTCGGGTTCGAAGCGCAGCAAATTTCCAGCAAAAAATATATGCCGGAGCTCGCTCGACTGTTCCGAGGCAACGAGACAAAAAAACGGGGAAAAAATGACAAAAAAAAGAAAGAAATAACACACACGCGATACGTAAAGTCATAATGAGAGATCGATGAAATTCAATAGAAACGGATGCATATAAGTTGTTCGACGAGAAACAAAGCTTATTAATATACAAAAATAGGATACTCGCCTTTTCAAAGGTACGCGAGGAACGTCCTCTTCGTGCTTCGTTTTTCGTGCGACGATCATTTCTTCGTGTTGTTCACGTTTCGACATTGTTTATCTTAATTGTTTTCCATATCCTCTTTGACATTTAAAATGACGATGCATTTCGGTTTCTCTTTTTAAAATCGCAAAACACTATTGCTACGGCGTCAAACGACAATGATGCCAGCCATTAAATTCGGTATCGTTCGTGACCGATAAATTATAGGACTGTATACGTGCCACCGGTTTGGTCAGCGGGTTATTTTATGTTTCGTTTCTTTTCTTTTTGTTCAGCGTAGTTAACAGAACGACAGCGCTTACAAACTAACCGATATGCTAAATGGTAAACTATGTGATCCTGACGATAATGTAAAGCGTATAGGCATTGGAAAGCACGAAGACGACAAGAAACGGTATTCTTTACGAATTTGTATGTATATACGGCTCGGTGGATCGATAGCACCGAGCAACTTTCTTATCAACATATCGTGACGTTAGTTTACGAGAGTTATTAGTTTGTGGTTTTTTTGGCGGCCTGTTGTCGGCCGTGTGCGGCATTTTGTGCCTTCACGTAAGCGTGGGATATTGATACTGACAACATGTAAACATCTGGTTCTCGGTTGAACAGAGGGATCGTGTACGTCCTTGTATAAAGTGAACAATGGCAATGAAAATACAGTCGAACTGCATGGATGAAAGATACGCTCACGTGTTATTAATTAGGCGTGTAATTAGCGGAATCCCTCTGTTCATTTATCGTACACGTATGAATAATAACTAAGATAGAGTTCATTTGAATAAGAATGTCCGATAAGCAGAAGACACGTTAAATCTTCTATGATACTAAATAAATTTCCTGTCTTAGGACGAAGCCAGACTTATTGAAACGAACTCTAGGTACATGCTATTACATGTAAAAAAAATATGGAAGTATTTTGCAATCTGGTTTATAAGGGACTTTATTTGTTCAGATGATTTTTCATAATTTTTAGAACGTTTTAAATACCTTCGCGATAATTCAAGATAAGAGAAATTTGCAAAAAAAAGGACATTGATACTGGGGGAACTATTTGCCAAATTGCAAAGTACAAAGAGCCAAAGATGGTTGTGGGGTGTGTAACAACTTACCTTATAATTACTTCGCACCTCATTAGTTCTTGAATTAGGTGACTAACTCTTATACATTTAATTCTTTGTTTCTTTTTTAAACAAAGCTGAACAGTTCTGGTGTATATAATTTCGAAGTATATGGCATTTAAAAAAATTACTTATGCAAGAAAAGCAAAATCTAACTCCTACTTTTATAGCAATGTAATTATTGAACTATTATTCTGAAGGAAAAGCAAAACTAGATGGGACATTGTAACTACTTATCTTCTTGTCCATGAAATTTGTGAACTTGTAATGAACAAATAACGGACTTATTACTTATTGAAGTAAATTGTCAAATTTGAGGGGAAATTTTAAAAAGTCAAATAATCATGGTAATAAGAATATTTGTGTATATGTTTGTGTTCTCCACAACAAATTTGCACCTTTGGCCCTGCAAAGAATTGAACATGGATAAAAAAAAACTCACCCAGTTTTGGGATCACCATCTGCTGGCTGTGGTATTGGCATCTCTGGCATTTCTGCAATTTTTTGTTGTTGCAATCCTGAAGGGCCAGCTTCATCACACGCCAAGGATACATTTACAAAGGTTGTAGGCTCTATAGTTCTACTGTTTGGATCTTCTTCGCTCTCTTCTTTTACAGGTAGGCCTGTAACATGTGCAATAAACACAAGGTTAAGTATAATAGCATTGATCATAATGAATAAATTATTTCAAGATACAAAATTTTTAAATAATAAAAACGTAATGATTTAAGGCATACCTTCGTCCCCATCGCACTCGTCGTCGGAATTCTCATCGTCCTCACTACTCTCTTCCTCGTCTTCTTGCTGTGTCGAGCTGGTTTGATTTTGTGATATTTGGTTATGCGTAGTTTGTGAACTTGGACCAGGCACTGCTTGAACATTTTGTACAGAACTGCCACTTGTGTCCATAGGAACTGAGGTTATTTGTTGTTGTTGATTAGTATTGGACATTATCATTGGAATGCCCAGACCCATGTTGTCCATCATGCCCATACCCATATTGTTCTGATGCTCGCCCACTTGCTGCATTACACTGCCATCTAACCTGTTCTCTGTACTCTGTTCTTGTTTCATCACATTCTGCAATTAAACATCCAAAAGAAACAAAATACATTAGCATTTTGTGCTTTGAACTGCTTAATGTAACAAATACTACATAACCTTTCAATATGTCATTACATGTTAAACATCAAAATCAATAACAAAAATTTGAAAAATATAATGCAATGAATAAATTAGCAATGAATCTACTAAACATGTAATTAAGGAACTCACAAGATATATTTTTAAATTATTTTTTATCGCTAAATATAATTGTAACTAAGGATAAGCACAGAATTGAATGTCTTGTAAATAAATGAATATCTATGCTTTCAAATTTTTTTTTTGTATACAGGGTAGGACATTTAAATTAATTATATTAATGATATTTCTCTAATGTAAACATAAATAATGATAACATTTAGACATTTGAATTGAAATGATCCACCTTGTACAACACAGATCACCTATTTTCATCAGTTCTATAAAAAGAAATGTTTAATGTAAGAAGTAAATAAAAATTACCGGATTGAATACATTGGAAACATAACCCTGTTTGCCGCCGTCCACACCAACTTCTCCCAGGCATTGTAGCAGTCGCTTTTCTGCGTTTGCTGTAGTATTCCAAAAGTGATAAAATGATTCTACTTTATACACACAATCGTCGCATATTTTCTTAGGTAATTTGTCTTCTCTTGCAACCTGTAATCATACGTGAAAACAATACACCTCAATATAATTATACACGAAACAAAAATAAATTATTATATATAGGTTAAAACGTGTAAAGATTTCATAAGCATTTTATATTCTCATGATC